ATTTTTCAAATCTCTTAAGTTTTCACTCATTACTTACTCAACATCAGACAACTAATTTTGGAAAATTACACCATGGATACAATGAATGTGGTGATGCCTTTAGCTGTTACTCGTTCTTTACTCAACCTCAGAGAATTCACAGTGGAGAGAGACTGTATGCATGCAACAACTGCGGAAAAGCCTTTAGCCATGACTTTTTTCTTAGTGAACACCAGAGAACTCATATTGGAGAGAAACCATATGAATGCAAAGAATGTAGCAAAGCCTTCAGACAGAGTGCACACCTTGCTCAACATCAGAGAATCCATACTGGAGAGAGACCCTTTTCATGCAATGAATGCGGGAAGGCCTTTAGCCGTTATGCGTTCCTTGTTGAACATCAGCGAATTCACACAGGAGAGAAACCATATGAATGTAAGGAATGTAACAAAGCCTTCAGACAAAGTGCACACCTTAATCAGCATCAGAGAATTCACACTGGAGAGAAGCCCTATGAATGTAATCAATGTGGGAAAGCCTTCAGTAGACGCATAGCCCTTACTCTGCATCAAAGAATTCATACAGGAGAGAAACCCTTCAAGTGTAATGAATGTGGGAAGACATTTGGCTATCGCTCACACCTTAATCAACACCAGAGAATTCATACTGGAGAAAAGCCCTATGAGTGCATCAAATGTGGGAAGTTTTTTAGGACTGACTCACAACTTAATCGGCATCATAGAATTCATACTGGAGAGAGACCGTTTGAATGCAGTAAATGTGGGAAAGCCTTTAGTGATGCTTTAGTTCTAATTCACCATAAAAGAAGTCATGCAGGAGAGAAACCCTATGAATGTAAGAAATGTGGGAAGGCCTTTAGTTGTGGCTCATACCTTAATCAACATCAGAGAATTCACACTGGAGAGAAACCCTATGAATGTAATGAATGTGGGAAGGCTTTCCATCAGATCTTGTCCCTTAGGCTACACCAGAGAATTCATGCTGGAGAAAACCCCCGTAAGTGTAATGAATGTGGGAATA